CAGAACTTGAATTCTGTAATATTTAGAAAAATTTTAAAAATATATATTTTTGCTTTAATGCCATTAAAATATTAAACTTTTTTTGCTTTTGCATTACTTTTGCATAGTTTTCACTGCTCCTACTCCATTATGTTTACAAAGTTATCTTCTCTTATAGTCCTTTCTTCATTCTTTTTAATGTGTAATAATTAGTAGGAGAAGGATATCTGAAGACATAACTAATTATCTCTTGAATTTTCCTTTGGTCATTAACATTTTAAATTTACTTTTCATGTGAATTTTAAGCTATATTTGTCTTAGTATATTAATTAAATAACCTCTGAAGAAAGTCAGATTTTTTCCAGAATGTAAATGTAAGAAGTTGGAATATTTTAATTCCCAAAGGACAAGGTAAATTTTGTGATTTAGTTTTAGAGGTTCTTAAGTATTCTTCAAATATATTCGGATTATCTATGTTCACATTTTTATGACAGTAATATAGGTATTTAATAAATTTATAATCATAGTGTTGCTGTATCATCTTGCTGCTGTGATAACTTAGTAAAACAGAAGTGAGAATACTGCTATTTTAATCTCAATATAGAATGTATTGCATGTCATCCAGCTCATGTTTATTTTCTAAATCTCAGTATCCATCTCATACATGTATGAATCATGCCATCTTCAAGTAACATAGAATGACTTAAAATATTGAAGTCAGAAGATGCATCAATATCTTACAATTATTTTGTAAGCAGTACAACATGACCCAAGCTGAGCCTTAGAACATGAGCAAAATAATTGTGACCAGGTGAACCTTAGCCCTTTTGTATGGTAACAGAAACCACATGGGTTTTTCTACACTGTCCTATTAGATTAAATGTATTATTACAGATATTAATTGTAAAAGTGTTGGAGATTAACAAGTTAAAACTTTGTCTCCCTGGAATGCTCATTGTAGCTTCCTAACTTGAAATGTGGTAAAGCTTGTGTGCTGCGTATCATATTGAATGGCCTCGGCACCATCAGCCTACACCTTTGTCTCCCAGTGACATAGTCTATTATTTAAGAAAGGACTAAGATGAATAGTTTGAGAAATGTGCTTGTCATGTTTTTTAATGTTTTTTATCAAATACATTTGAAAACATTTTACAATTGATCAACTCTGTTTCTCTGCACATATTTATAAAGGGTTTACTGGTGGAAACTTTAGAAGACCCACTTAGTGGTGGAAATGAAAGATATACCTATTTTTTTCCTTTAATGTGGTCTTCAATGCAAGAGAATTTTAAATAACAGAGAAGGTTTATTTTAAAAATTGAATGAACAAATCAGACAATGTTTATTAAGTGAATTTTCACCAAAATCTCAATTGTTTTGTCTGTTACTATATCTCAATTATACTACACGTCATAATACATTAAATAAATATATGGCTATACTTACACTCGAAACAATAATTGCATGGTTAAAGGTAATAAAGGAATTTTTAAAAGAGATTTTTATAAAACTAATGGGATCAACAGTATTATTTTTGTTTAATGTATTTAGCAACTCTGACTTCAGTTATGTCTTAGTACATGATATTACACATTAAGGCATCTACTCATTTAAAGCTATCTCTAAAACCTGGTTCAAGAACCTCCTTAAGTACCAGGTCATTTATGACCCATAGGAACCCTATAGGGCAGAGTTGAACTGCCCCTGGGGCTTCCAGGACTATACATTTGTAAGGGAGCAGGAAGCCTCAGCTTTCTCCTGTGGAGCCAATGGTGGTTAGGAACTGTTGACTGTAAGGTTAGCAACTAATGCGTAAACCATTATGCCACCAGAGCTCCTTAAAAATCTCCGTGAAATATATTTTAGAAAACATTTTTTTATCTTAGTAAAACCCTAAAAAGATTTTAATGTTTTTAAAAAGTAAAAGCTTTTTTTTTCTGGATATAAATATCTGGACACCTGTAATTGGAAAATAAAACAAGTGAGCTTTGACCACTGTGGAATACATGGACTACAACACAATTTAGTCACTCATTAATACTCTTATAATCAATCCTTGTTTCCGTGAGAGGAACTGATCTAAATATTATTTTATCCTTACTTTAAGAAATTGATAGGTAAGGATCATAGTTTAAGAGTTTTGGTGACACAATGGCTAGAGAAACTTGGACTGGTCACTGACAGGTCAGTGGCGTGAACCCACCTGACAGCCTGTGGGGACACGGGCTTCTTAAGGACTTTATGGCCTTGGGCACCTCTAGAGCCGTTCTCTCCTCTCCGACTAGATTACTCAGTGTCAGATTAGATGGTGGCAATGAGCTTGATTCTCCCAGTTAAGGCTCCCTTCAAAACTCCAGGGCTCAGTCACACACAGGTGTCTGGGCTCCTGCATTATTGTCTCTGATTCATCAGATCTGGGACAAGGCTTACAAACTGGCATTAAAATAGATAGTTGAGACTGATACTACCTCTCCAGTCACATTTTGAGAACTATGCTTTTAAAATTAACAGTTGAGACTTTTCACCAATTGGGAGCACTTGCAGGTGCTAAGAACTGCCCCATCATTCATTATTTGGAGTCATCTGTACATTCAGGCTGTTAATTCGGGTAATTAATGTACCCTCTTATTTAAGTCAATAATGCACAAGAATAGAAACGGAGTGTGAATTTTAAAATGTGTTAAATTTCACTGTTTAACTCCAGAATACAAATAAGCATTATCACTTTCATCTTTTTCATTTATTAACCGTTCAAGATAGATGTGTTATGTAAAACAATTTAAGTGTTCTATTGTCCTATAATTTTCTATCCCTAGTTATCTTTTTTCAGTCTCTCCTTACTTCTCTTCCTGTCACATCTAACATATTTTAGAAAAGACTATTAATGTTTACTGCATGTAGGTATATTACCAAATTTTAGCTTTTCAGCATAAGATTGTTTTGTCATTTTGCATACTAAATTTGTTCATGGAGAGTAATTAGATATTCATGGAGAGTAATTAGATATTCATGACTTTTGTACAAATAAAAGTGTCAGCTGTTTTAAATAATTTTGTCAAAGACAAATATTGCAGCCCCAACCAGACGTGCTCCTGTGTGTACATGTACACACACATACAGAAAGTCACATCCAACCTAACCCACGAAGCCCTCTGATCATACTTCAGGCATGTGAACAGCCCTCTTCTCAGACAAAGAGCGTTGTGAAGTCCATTAAGCAGATGTAGTTAGGTCAAAATGTAATATTTCATCATTTGATCTCACTTTGGACCCATTTTCAATTCTGTTTCAGTTTTGTTTGTTTTCTTAAAGCGAAGGGGAAATGCATGTGGATCAAGCCCCTGTGACTCTCCTCTCCCTGACCAGGGACCATGTGAATGGCCTTGCTAACATGCAGACTGCAATGGAAAGTGGATTGTTGCAGATGCAGTTAGGTTAAAAATTAGCACCATCTTATTTGGTCTCCTTTATGATTCATTTAAATGGTTTACTTTTTAACATTTTCTGCTTTCTTTTCAATTGAGGTCTTTAAATCTGTTTTACTTTATGATTCTTGTTAATTTGGGGTTTGTTTGTTTTGGGATTTTTTTTTCTTTTTTAATATTTTTCTTTATATGAGATCCAGGATAGGTAAATCTATAGAGACAGTAACTACAATAATGGTTCCTTAGGGGTATGACAGGGAGGTTGCAGAGAAATGGGGAGCTAATATGGATTAAAAAAATGAAGAAAATGTTTTTAAACAGATTAAGGAGATGATTTTTCAGCCCTTCATGATGTGATTGAACTATTGAATTATATCATGTGAATTATAAGCCAATAAAAAGAGAAAACAAAACAAAAATTCACTACCATCTAGTCAATGCCGAGTCATAGCCACCCTACAGGATAGGCTAGAACTGCCCCTGTGAGTTTCCACGACTGTGAAGGTCACGGGCGTAGAAACCCTAGTCTTCCTCTCCAGGAGCAGCTGGATGTTGCAATTTCAGAACTTAGGATCACAGCCCACGCTTTCTTGTGTCTAACTAGTGTGCTTTTGTCCCGTTCTTTCCGTCTTCTCATAGATGTGCTAGTCGGTCAGTCCCATTGCAGGTGTTGCCTATCACAGGCATCACTGAAGTGTGATGCCAAAGTCCTCGAAGGTTAGAATGTGTTTTCTATATTAGTTTGGCAGAGGTTTGCCTTGGAACATGGAAATCATTCATCTTTGTAGGAAAGGGGTTAAGACAGAGTTCTGAATTTAGCCCAAGTATTTTTATTTAGTGAAGAAATAAACAATTGTATTTTCATTGAAAAGAAGGTTTAAGTAAACAGAAAAAAGTAACATACACATTCATTTTGGATAAATGGTGTATAATGTTAATTTCCTTCTGGGGAGGCCAGTAAGGTAATTTGGCATTAAAGGCAGATTTAGAGTAGATGGAAAATAAACCTTCAACCTTAAACTTCTGTGGGATTTTCTTGAATCATTATTGATTGGGAGATATCACTTGAAGTTAAGGTATAATTAGAGTTACAATAGATCTTTCCTGGTGGACTTTTGTTTTCTAACATGAAATCTGAGGCACAGAACATGTGCAGAAAGCAAGGAACATGACCTAAGAGTCATCCTTCATTGTTGCCTTTCTGTAGTTGTTAATAATTAGTTGTCACACCGAGAATTATACTCTTGGTGTGTATAATACAAATTTAATAGCACAAAAATTTATTTCCAGGGATCGTTTTAATTCAATTATATTTAAAGGCCTGTACACTGTTTTTGCAATATACGTGGTAAGTATTCCATCTGTGAAAATTCCGTTCACTCATAATGATCCTGTATAACTTTAATGTTGCAGAAATTAGGAGCCAAGATAGATTATCATGTGAATTATATGAGGAAATAACGTGGATGATAATAACTGGATAGAAATTTGGGGATCTGAAGTCAAAAAGTATTTGATAAGCGAAGATGTAATTATCACAATAATTGTTAGCATGAGTTGTAATATTCTGCTTCGTGTTGATCTTTTTCTGTGCAGCCTGAAAAAAATGAGAGTGAGCCAGGCAGCCAGAAGATAAAGCCTGTTTTTATTGAAGATGCTAGTTTTGGACGACAGATATCTTACCAGCATGCAGCAGTCCATATCCCCACCGACATTTACGAGGGCTGTAAGTAGAAGGATATGAGGAAATGTTGGAATGCCATTCTATCAAGTATCTCGTGTATTTCATTTTTGGAAAGAAGGGAGCTAATGTGATACTAACTTATCTGCGTAGAATATAATTCTGTGGTAAACTCTGATTTTAAAAACAAGATTGTTTTATAAAATGCCTTTCTTTGGGTATCAGTTTTTGTTCACTTGCTTTGGTAGACTTAATACTGGCCTCCCCTAAATGCCATGAACATATGTGTACATCACAGAATCTATGATTATGCTACTTTTATAGCAAAGGAGCATTAAAGCTACTGAGGAAGTTAAATTTGATAATCAGCAAATAAACAGATTTTCTTCCAATATAATCAGAACAGCCCTTAAACGATGTTACTATGGAGAATGATCAGAGACGCAACAGTGCTGGCTTTGAAGCTGGAGAGAGGGGACCAGAAAGGCGGCCCCTGAGAGCTAGAAAGAGCAAGCACACAGTCTTCCCTGAAGCCTCCAGAGAGAATGCCTACTAACTTCCTCAACAACAACAACAACAAAGTAGCCTAGTTTTCCTACCCAACTTTGTGTGTATGACACCTCAGCATAAAGAAAACAAAGTCCCCCTCACTGGACGAGTGTGCTACATCACAAAACAGAGAAGAGTAAGCTGTCAAGGATGGCTCTTCACTTGGATGCACAATCAGTGGAGTCAGCTGTCAAATCAGTACATCGCATTGGACAAATCTGCTGCAAAAGGTCTCTGTAGTGTGAGCCCACAACAAAGAGAATGGTTAGCAAACACAATGAATGACAAAATAGATAATGACCACATCACAATCTAATTGGCAAATTACATGGTTACATAACTGCCTGACGACTGAAGATCGTGTCTCAGCCACGTTCAAGTCCCATGGCAACCACAGCCAACATTACTATGATCTCCCACCTCAGTTTTCATTATTGGCAGATGTATATTGTTAATACGCAATCTACTCAAATAGTAGATTTATTTTACTGTTGTCATAAATGTGAAATGTTTAACAAGAGAGTCCAGAAGTGAGGTAGAAATCCAGGACAAAGCCGGAGAGGTCTAAGAATTTTACCACATTTTCCCAGACAGTGTAGCCATCTAAGACCAACTGTGTGACCTAGGCTGTGATTTGTTTAGAGCCCTGCTTCATAATACATCATACTCATAATACTCACAATAAGTTTTCACTTGAAACTTATTGTCATATATTGACATTGCCACTCCTGTTTTCTCTGTGTCCTGCCTACTTGTTGTCAAGTATCTCCACCCCCACTGTAATCTATTTATGCTGTTTAATCTACCTGTGTTTAAGGTGTGCCCCTGGTCATATAGACATGTCATATTTGTAGTCCAGTCTACTAGACTAGACTATAATTTTTTTACTTGAATATTTAATCCATTTATATTCTTGACTAGAATATTTAAACCATTTATATTCACTGCAATTAATTATCAATAAAGAAGAATTTACTTTAAACATTTCCCCACCCCATCTCTTGGTGAGATTGAGGACTTCTTTGTTCACTACCTTCAAAGCTGAGTTCTTTTTAGGAATATGTTTTTCCTTTGTTATTATGATTTTTGGATAATTTTTATTACCAAATCACTTAGATTCCCTTTGACACCTGAAATTTCTCTTATCTGTAGCAATCATCTTCATTTTATTTTGATGTTATTGTCAATTGCAATTGTGTAGCTCAGATCCCCCATCTTATTGAATATTTATTTTATTATATGTATTCAGGTGGTTGTTCAGTGTCATCAACACTTTGGATTATTGGGCTGAGATCATGTTTTCTTTCTAGAGAACTCCTTTTAATATTTGTTGCAGAGCTAGACATGGTTACAAATTCCCATAATTTCTGATTATCTGGGAAAATCCTAATGTGTTAGACAGGGTTCTCTAGAGAAACAAAACCAGAATGCTAATAATTTTATATATATTTATACAGATAGATAGATAGATAGATGTATAACAAGAAATTACCAGTTAATTAAATTATAAAGCAGTACAAATGGCTCAGTGCAAATCACTCCCATGAGACAGTTGTAAGACACTGGCAGTCCTTCAAGTCTCAAGGGCCTCTTGGTAGCCCTCTGTAGAGTAATTCAGGCTATCCAGGCACAGGTAGCAAACAGCAAGGCAGGTCACCAACAGTCAGTCACCCAACAGGGTCCAAGGCTCACCAAGGCATTTAATCTCTCCGCCCTTCAATTAATCCCACATGTGTTTATAAACCAGGTTGGCATAATAAACTAACTACCTCACCTAATTTCACCCTCACTTGTTGAGTGATAATTTTGCTGGGTAAATTATTTCTGGTTGATAGTTGCTTTCTTTCAAAGTTTTGTATATGTCACCCCATTGCCTTCTTGCCTGCATAGTTACTGGTGAGAAATTAGCACTTAATCTTATTGATGCTCTTTGTAATGGGACCATTTCCTTATCTCATGCTGCTTTCAAAAGTTTCTTTATTCCTTGTATCTGGGAAGTCCAATTGTCCTGTGTCTTGGGGTGTTTCCCTGGATCTTGTTGAGCATCTTAGATGATTACCTCATCTTCCAGATTTGGGAAATTTTCTATGATTATTTCTTCAAAAATATCTTCTAGACTTCATTTCCTGTCTTCTCTTTCTGGAATTCCTAGTATGTGTATATTATTTCTCATCATGTTGTCCCACAGAGCCCTTATGCCCTGTTCAATTTTTTCCACTTCGTCTTCCAAATGAGTAATTTCAGAGCCTTTGTCTTCTAGTTCACTGATTCTTCCTTCAATAGTTTCCATTCTGCTTTTACATTCTTCTAGGGTGCTTTTTATTTCCATTATTTTTTTTTCTGTGTGTTCTTCTTTGTTTGTTTCTTTTTTTTTTAAAGTCATTTTATTAGGGGCTCATACAACTCATCACAATCCATACATACATCAATTGTATAAGGTACATTTGTACATCTGTTGCCCTCATTATTATTATTATTTTTAAAATTATTTTATTGAGGGCTCATACAATTCTTATCACAGTCCATACATACAGTACATCCATTGAGTCAAGCACATATGTACACCTGTTGCCCTCATCAATCTCAAAACATTTACCCTCTACTTTAGCCCTCAATATCATTTGCTCATTTTCCCCCCTCCCTCCTCCCTCCCCCTCCCTTTTATTTCCATTATTTTATTATTAAGCACAGGATTTCTAGTTGCTTTTTATTTAAGGTTTCTATCTCTTACTAAATCTCTTGCTTTGTTCTATTTGTGTTTTCTGAATCATTTTAAAAAAGCTTCCCATGTTTTCCTTTATCCCATCGAGAGAACAATACTAGTTTTTGGATGTCTTTGTCGAGAATTTCATAGCAATAAATGCCTGAAATATTAGGTTTATCTTTCACTGGTGAATAAACAGAAAATATCTACTAACCTGAAGATTCACAAACTTCTATATCTTTCACAATTCCTTCCCCCATTTTTTTTGTCTTTGTGCTCATCAGTGCTAAGTGATGTGCATGTGTCCTGTGAGAGGACCTCCCTGCAGGTACTGCTGGTTAAGTTTCCAACCTGAATAGAACCTGTTGATTACTTCTCTCGATCTTTGCTGCAGCCCCCCTCCCCCACACGCTCTCCCCCATGGCACAGATTTGGAGAAACCGTATGGCTGGATGACACTGGAGTACCTATGGATTGAAGCATCCCATTCAGGTCTCTTACTGCCTGAGGTCTGTAGCTGAGGTGCCGGGCTGTTCATTCTAGCACCAGTCTCCAAAGCAGCACCGAGCTTCAAGGAAGAATTGACGAATGGCCATGTGCACGGTTAGCTTGCAGAGTGCTCTTCACTAAGAGTCTGAGAAAAAAGAAAAAAAAATCTCCCCTATATTTTTTACCTGCAAACCTGTGTTTGCCCAGTGTTCTTCGCCAAGCTCAATTCTCTGAATAAGTGATTGTTGTTTGACTGTCACACCAAATTAAAGCAAAATAGCCAGAGTGTTCCGTGGTGTCATTATGCCCATTTGTAGAGATAGTAGGTGGGGGAAGTGAATGGATTGTTTTAGAGAAGTTTCATCTCAGAACTGATTCCTACCCCTACTTTGAGGTGGGAGGCTGAGCCAGAGGGCCTCAGTTGCAGTCTTTGTGAGGCTTGGGCACCTTTGCTGAGTCTTAACATGGGAGAACAAGTGGGCTTGGGCTCACTTCTTGCATTGGCCTCTAAATGGCACATGAGGCACACGTAGTTTCAAACACATTGTAGTAGAGTCAGCTCTCAGTAGCAAACCACTGAGCTCTGAATCCCTCATTTCAGATATACAAAATATTTAATGGGACTCTCTGGCGATGACGGAATCAGTTTGATGGCAGTGCATTTTTCTTAGAGCTGGCTAATCTATTTGAATGCATTTCATTCAGTCATTTTGCAAAACATGTTCCTGAAGTTTATGCATACGTTTTCTAATTATTTACATAGAAATCCTCAAACCTTCCATTAAATTCTAAATGAGAAACATTAACCCTTTGCACATTTTTTAATCATTTTATTGGCGGCTCATACAACTCTTATCACAATCCATGCATACATCAGTTGTGTAATGCACGTTTGTACATTCATCGCCCTCATCATTTTCAAAACATTTGCTCTCCACTTAAGCCCCTGGCATCGGGTCCTCATTTTTTCCCCTTCCTCCCCACTCCCCCTTCCCTCATGAACCCTTGATAATTTATAAACCATTATTTTGTCATATCTTGCCCTGTCTGATGTCTCCCTTCACCCACTTTTCTGTTGTCCGTCCTCCAGGAAGGAGCTCACATGTAGATCCTTGTCATGGGTTCCCTCTTTCCAACCCACTCTCCCTCTACCCTCTCAGTATCACCACTCACACCACTGGTCCTGAAGGGATCATCCCCCCTGGATTCCCTGTGTTTCCGGTTCCTATCTGTACCAGTGTACATCCTCAAGTCTAGCCAGACTTGCAAGATATAACTGGGATCATGATGGGGTGGGGAGAAA